CCACTGAGGAGCTGGGGGCGCGGGGGAGGGGGGGCGGGGGTGGGTGGGTGTGCGACGCGGAATACAGTGGTCGGAGCTCTAGACACCCTGTGCAAGATAATACATGCAACCAAGAAAACGACACCCCCGATTCTAGTTGCGACCAAATCAAAAAACCCAATTGAAACAACGATGGTCATACAGTCATACAGTGCATCTTGACATGATTGGCGGTGATGGCGACGATGATGCTGACGAGCTTGATGGCGATGTTGATGGTGACGATGGTGTCGATGATGTGCCAGGGGTTCCTGATTCTGGGGGGTGTCAAAAACAAGTGTTCCTAAATTAGGAACACGTTTTTCAATCCATTCGTAGCTTTCGCGTTTATGGCGACGTCTCGTCTCACACGAGTAGTTTGGTCAACTACTTATTCAAGTAAGTAGTTGAACCAACGGTCACTTGAGTGAACAGGGCGTTGGGTCGGGAACTGGGACATCTACATTGCCAGTGGCGGGCTGCTTCTCAATCCCAGGACTTCTTGAGGGTTGGGGACGACGTCGGGGCGGTGTGAATACACTTGTTGTTCCGTTTCCCAGAAGCCAGCGAAATATGTATACACCAGGGTCCCGTATACACCAGGTGCGAGTTTCGGTGCAGGGCCGGAACAAGCGTCGGTGTATGGAGTTCGGTTCCCTATTGGGGGCGATGGTGAAGAGGACGAGGGAGGAGGGGGACGAGGAGCAAGGCATGGCACTCAAAGAATTGGGACAGAAGTGATGAAGAGGGCGACTGCGAACAGGAGGAGGAGGAGGAGGAGGAGGAGGAGGAGGAGGAGGAGGAGGAGGAGAGGAGGAGGAGGAGGAGGGAGGAGGGAGGAGGAGGAGGAGGAGGAGGAGGAGGAGGAGGAGGAGGAGGAGGAGGAGGAGGAGGAGGATGGGGAACGAGAGGAATTGAGATGGGTAGGGGGGCCTTGCCTGCAGGGGTCCCCCTCCGCCGAAAAAATCAGGGGCTAAACTACTGGGTCGAAGTAGTGTTAACCTCTGGCTTTCGTACTTGTCCTCGTGACGCGAATATCGGGACGCTCCTAAGACCCCCCCCCCCTCCGCGCGCGCGATGATATGATGGTGATTGCGGCGATGCCCCCTCCGCGCGAGGATCTGATGGTAATTGCGGCGATGTGGGCGGCGACCAAATGGGCGAAAACGGGTGTTATCAATTGAGTTAAGAACAGGAGCAGCCGCTCCCGCAGACCCATGCCATTCCTCGTCCCCCACATCGTTTTTCTTCTCATGCTTCTGCGTTGTCAAACAAAATGATGACCATCTCAAAAGATGGAGTTTGCTACAGCCACAAGAAAGTCGGTAGGTTGGGGAGTAAGGGTTGTATGTAGGTGGATGAGGATAGGGTGAGGATCAATATGACGATGAGGAGGACGGAGAGGAGGAGGACGATAAGCAAAGTACCCTGGCATCAGTAACCAGATTACTTAACAATCGTCTGGCAAGAAGAGTCCTTTCGAGTGGTCGCCCAGTGGCTTACAGGACAAAGAAGAAAGCAGCAGTGGAAGGAAGAGTAAGAGCAATAGCAAGAGCAGCAGCAGCAGCAGCAGCAGTGCAGAGCTCACACATCCTCGCGTCCAGCTCGGAAAGCATGCCAGCCTGAGGGTCGCCAGGAAGGCCAGGGCGCGTGCCTCTCAGCGGGCCCTCCGGGTACGCCTCGGCTCTCCTTGGCGGGGGGGGGGTCCGAGAGGGCTTTATCACCTCGGACTCGGGCGGCACAGTAGAAATCGTGGCGGCCGATTCTTGGATGCCTTCGGCCTCCAGAGGCCGCTTTCCGGCCCCCGTGGCCGTCCAAAAACGGGATCGGATGAACAGCCAGCCTTCGGAATGGGGTCGAGGTTCCTGGGGGCCCGCGTCACGAAGAAGACGCGGTGTCGAGGAGAGGGCTTTCTGCTACAGCCAAGACGACGAGATGAGAGCCACTCTGGGTCCAGGACGGGCTCTGGCTTGCTGGCCCATGGCCAGAAACATCTGTTTTCTTGTTGATTTGGCGTTCCTCGTGGTGACTCGACATGCACCCCAGTGGCGGCCTTTCTCGTGGCCGCCCAGGAGACGTTCTCGTCTGCGCGCGCTCTGGTCGCTTGCACGCCTCGGCTGCCGGAGCGCCCACCCTCCCCCCGTCGCACGCGGGCGGCTCGGTTCGGCTCCTGGCGTGCCATTTGTGTGCGATGATCCCTGAACTGCTGGCTTCAGGGCTTGGCTCGTTGTCGTCAGAGGCGTCCCAAACCTTACTCAGGGTCAGTTCCGATCCGATCGCTCTCGTTCGATGTCGATTCCTGCCGGCTCGATCTGATTCGATTCCGACCGGCTTCGTGTCGATGCAATTCGATCCGGCGCTCTTTCCGATCCGATCCGATTTCGCGATTCGATACTAGCTGATCCTGCTAGGGCTTGGTTCATCATCGTCAGACCCCCCAACCCCGACTGGGGCAGGGTAAGCTGGCTCTCCCAGCCCCACCACCTCTGGTGGGGATGGGTGCTGCGAAACCCGAGAGAACGGCACCCGTCCACACCTTGGAGGGGTAGGTCGGTCGGCGGAGCGAAGCTTTCCCCAGTGGGGGCGGGGGTGCCTCTACTTGTCCAGATTGGCTCAAGCATTACGTGCCTCGACGCCTTGATGGCTACCAAGTGCCGCGAAGGGATGCCCAGAAACTGGCACGTGGAGGCAAGAGGGCGCACGAACGATGACAAACTAGTGGTGCCTGCAAGGTGCCTGGCTTGGTGGCCGTTCTCGAGTGCATTTCTCCCCTCTCCTGATCCCCCACCCTCCCATCCCATCCTCCCGTCCTCTTGGCTCCCTCTCCCCTGCCTCCCTCCCTGTCCCTCTCACCTCCGTTCGCCATGAGGGAGAGGGGTCCTGAGGGAAACGGGTCCTGGACCACGGGGCTTCCCCCGGGGCAAGCTCTTCGGCTCGAGTCGTCGTCTCGACGGTCCTGGGGCCCGTGGAGGGCCTCCAGGGGCCGTGGAAGGGGGGAAACGCTTTCAGGCCTCCTTTCCTCCAGGACTCGTCTCCTGCATGCTCCCTCTCCTCCAGGACTCGTCTCCTGCATTTTTTGGGCGGCGCGGGCCCCCTGGGATCTCAACCCCTTCCCCGGGGTCGGCTTTTGGCCCAGAGTCGTTTGCCGACGGTTCGGGGGCCGTGAGGCGTTTAACCAAAGGCCGAAAGCGTCTAAAAACCATCTTTCATATTTTTTGTTCGGGGTCGCCTGGCTCTGAGGGCTGACGTATCCCTCCCTCCTCCCCTCTTTGGCCATCGGGCAAAAGTTAGATCGCCTACTGCGTTTTCCACACTTGCGGGTTGTAGCGCGCAGGGCTGAACAGTTTCGAGGAATCTTTCTCGTTGGCCACCCTGGCGTTTGACTTTCGTCATAACACTCGTTTGCTTCCCGAGCAGATAGTTGTGCTCGCAATGAAACAACCCAATCTGTGCTCAAGTTCCGGGGAGCGGGAGTCTTAGACGGTGTATGCCGTGCTCTGGGGACCGACCAGGGACGCTGGTTTGGGCGACGTCTGGGACGGGAGGGGTCCGTGGTGGAGGGCCGAGCTGTGGCCAGTGGTCGCACGGGCCACGGTGGTGCCGTGAGCCGCGGCCGCGTTGCCCTGTAGCGGTGCCGTGGTTCTTTCCCACACTCGGGCGAAGGGATTCTAAAAGTCAGCGGGTGCAGATGGGTAATTCATAGCCACCACCGTAGGTCACAGGTTTGTGGGTACCAGCCGTTCCCAGGACGTCGCCTGTGCTGCCCCAGTCGTCGATGCTCTCCGAGCAAGTGCCGAACCGTCATGCGTGTTCCGCCGCAGAAGATTGGTGACGCTGGCCGGTGCCGCTGTGCCTCTGGCTGCTTGTTCGGGAGAAGCGATCGCGCTCGTAGTCGGCGGTTTCTCGTTGCCGAGTGCTCAGTTATGGAGATATTTGATGCCTGGCACGAGGCGTTCCTTTGAACAGCGTAAGCAGGCGCAGCAGATGATTTAGCCCAGGGGCCGGCAAGGCACCCCGTTCCAAGTCTGGGGCCCCCACCTGGAGTCGAGGTCGGTTTCTTTTTGTTTGCGGCGCCAGGCGACGCTTGTGGATTGGAGCCCAGCCTCGACTTAGCTCCTCAAGGACTCCTTGCAAGGTCAGCTCCCCGAAATCAGGAACCCCAAGGCTGTCCCGCGCGCCTTGAGCCGAGGCTTCGCTGAGAGTCTTGTGAGCCCGTGGAGGGAACAGCCGCGGGAGCAGCGGGGAGGGTTTGGGGAGCAGGCTGGACTCTCAAGAGCCGACCTTGCGAGTCAGCCAGCTTCCAGAGCTCTCGTCCCTTTTTTGGGTTGGTGAGAGACTCAACGAGTGACCCTTCGCCCGATTGACCTTTGGGTGTGCGGTTTTCGGGGGGCGCGGGGGGCCAAACCCAAGCGCGCAGGCCGCTTCTGCCACATCGCGTGTAACGATCTGCAGGCCGCACTCCTGCGTGCAGCCTATCTGCGATCGGCTTTTCGGCCTGACCTTGTTTTTGTTGACGGTCCCTGTGCTCCGAAGCGGCACCCAGGGACCGGGCGCGGCCCCAAAGAGCTCTGGCGCAACTTTCTCGGGTCGCCCGAGGTCTGGGTCGGGGCAAGAACTTCGTCCCTCGAACCTATCCTGGGGCGCGTTCCAGACAGAATCTTGAGGTGGATCCAGCCGTGGCCACGAGGGTGCATCACGAGGGCCGAAAAACCTTCAGAAACCTTGATCCTCGATCCTCGACCCTTACGCCTCGATCCTTTCACACGAAGAAGAAAAAGAGCACGCCCCGTCAATAGAACTTTAAAGCTCCGTGCAGATTTCTTGGATCGGCGCTGGGCCCCATGGCGGCGCCTCCGGCGACGCCCCTGGCACAGCGCCGATCCAAGAACTCGTCGCGGACCATCGAAAGTCTATGTTTATGCAGTGTTCTTCTTTTTGTTGAGCCTCCAGCCGCGGACTTCAGTCGAGAGCGCCAGAGCGAGGTGAATCGGATCAGCACCGTGAGCGACCACGTGCTGATTGGTGGCGTCTTCCACGCGGGGATCCAGGTCTTCGCGCGCGAGTGGGGCTACGGCTTCACGGAGGAGCGCGACCCCCCGTACCCCCGCTTGGTGGCGCAGTGCAATTCTCTCTCTGCCGCACCAGGTTGAAGAGGATCGAGGATCTACGATAGAGTTTGGTCTATTTGCTTGTTTGTTCGTTTGGTTGTTTGGTTGTTTGCTCTGTTCGTTTGGTTATTTGGTTGTTTGGTTGTTTGGTTGTTTGTTTGTTTGTTTGCTTGCTTGCTTGTTTGTTTGTTTGTTTGATCGATTGTTTCACCACCCGACAGTTTGTGGTTGTTAGATTTCAAGAACAGACCACCCGGCCAACCCCACGCATACCGCGGCCGCCAGACCCCAAGTTGTCCCGAGAGTCTCCGAGAATCCCTGGGACTCCCGCCTCGCGCCCTCGACAAACACGACTGCATACCGCGGCCGCCAGACCCCAAGTTGTCTCGAGAGTCCCCGAGTCCCTTGGAGTCCCGCCTCGCGCCTTCGAGAAACACGAAAAACACAGCAATACACAGCATAACATGACAGAACATAACATAGCAATACCGTGACAAGCACAGCGTAACATAACAACACGATGCACATCATGGCAGAACATTGCAGAACATAACACGACAAACCACACCATACCATAACATAACTGATCATAACATCACACGCATTGACGGAACATACCGTATCATGACACAGCGTTCAGAACATGTCATAGCACACCAATCGAGCATAGCGACGAACACGACATAACACAACATGCCACAATACAACATAACATACCAAAACACGGTCATGCCATAGCATGACGGAACATCATATGGCAGTACCAGTACACAACATACCATGGCATGACATCACATAACATGCCCTACCATATCATGACAGAGTATAGCAACAGAGTAGACACAACACGCAAAACCATACCATATCATGTCATACCATGACATAACAATGCATAGCATGAGACAACATACCACAACATAACAACACATAACAAGCATGCCATAACACACCATAGCAAATCATTCCACTATCATAATATAACATCACACATCATACCATGGTATACCATTGCACAACAAAACATGTCATAATACACCATAACATATCAGGAACGATCATAACATAACACACCTTGACGGAACATATCATATCACGACACAGCGTTCAGAACATGTCATAACACGCCAGCAGAGCATAGCGACGAACACGACAGAACACACCACGTCACAAGAGAAGACAACATAACATAACGCGATCATGACATAACATGAGCAGTATCATTACAAACCAGACCATGCCAGAACATCACAGAACATACCATATCATATCATGCACACATAGTAGGCAGACTACGACAAAACACAACATAGTATGACATTTCATGACAACACAATGCTTATCATGAAAGAACAGGTCGTAACATAATGTCACATCACAACCATATCATAACGTCACATAACAGAGAACCACATAACATCAGATAACAAACCAAACCAGAACACACTATAACAACATAACAGACCCAAACCAGGCCAGACCCTCAGTTGTCCCGATAATCCCCGAGTCCTCGCCGCCGCCCCGCTGCGGGCGGCCTCCTCGCCTGCGTCCCTCAGTCTAAGGATGGGAGGGGTGAAGAAGGATGAGGGGAACGAGGCATGGGGCAGGAGGAGGAGGACAGGGGCCCAAGGTTTCGGTGGGGATTGCTCGAAGCAAGTGATTGTTTGTTCGATCGTTCGTTAGTTAGTTTGTTTGTTCGTTCGGTCGTTCTTTCCTATGTGTGTGTGTGTGTGTGTGTGTGTGATTTGACGCGCACACACAAACGACCTCGTCTCGCACGCTCGGGACGTAACCCTACGGCTACCCGCGCTACGAGGCAGGCCTCGATTGGCAGCCCCTGGCGGGCTTCGGGGTCACCATCCGGTTCCGCTTCCCCAGCTACGACGCCCGCGCCTCGCCTTGGTGCTCGAGCGCCGCCCCCGGCCGAGCCGCCCTGCGCTCCCCGCCGGGGCCGGCCCTGCCCTCGGCCCGCCTCCCTGCCCCATCCGCGACGCCCCACGTCCCCCTCCCGGGGTCGACTCGGGGGGCTCTGGGGCTCCGCCGCCGCCGCCGCCCGTCACTCCGCCCGCCCGTGCGCCTGCCTCTGCCTCTGCTCCGCCCCCCGCCGCCCCCCCCGCCCTTTCCTCCTGGCCCTGGCTCCGCTCCCCCCGCTGCCGCCGCACCGCCCAGCACCCAGGTCGCTAGCGACCGCCCTCCCATCAATTGGTTCAGCCAGTGAGCCCTTGACCCGCGCCGATGGCTCAACGGCCTGTCGCCCTGTGAACGCCGCTTCGGCGAGTTGCGCGTTGTGGGCCGCGGCCCGTCCTCCCTCCAGCTTCTACGACGCTGGGAGCGCGACATCCGCGAATACGGCGAGAGCTTGCTGCACGTCTGGCGG